AAGCAGCCCGCAAATGTTAGTGTTGTCATTATCCAATTAACGTTCCTCTTCACAGGATGAATATAAACCTGACAAAGACCTCTCTGAAGTGGATCTGAAAAACGCCATCCGTGTGCACCACGCCTTAGCCACAAAAGCCTCTGACTACAGCAAGAAGTCCAACGTGCTCAAGCTGAAGACAGCTGACTGGAGAGTCTTCCTCTTCCAGGCCCCGTGAGTCCCAGCAGTGCCTGGATGGGCAGCCTGACCTCCAGGCACTGCCAGGCTCCCTCTGACCTGGCCAGATCAGCACACGCATTGGGGCCACACCTGCGGGGAGGAAGGGGCTGAGGGTCATTCCTGCAGGGCTGTGCAGAGGATTTGGTCATAGGTCACAGTTTCTTGGTAGCTTTGTGCTGGTCCTTGAGGTCCTTCCCAGCTGCCAGCAAGGCAGGCTGAGCAGGATGGGCTGGGATATGCAGGGCTGAGAGAAAAGGCTCCTCCTGCTAACTTCTATTGGAGTATTCTGGAAGGGAGAACATCTGTGCAGTGCAGGTGATGATTGCCCTTGTCAGCTTTTGATGGGGAAACTGTCTAAACCTCCTTAAAGCCATCTCCCCAGCCAGGGTAGATGTTTTATCTTAGTCCATTGCTGAGGAATGTTATGGTGTTAATAAGAGTCAAGGGTGATGAAGTCATCTTCTGCCTCACGTCTTCTGCTGAGAGAGGTGACGTTGTCTGTAGGTTGGGCTGGAGTACTGATGTCAAGCTAAAGCCTGACATCTGAATTTGTGCAGCAAACACCCACCTGAAGGCTCGGGGCAGCAGTGTCTGGACAGATTTGATGAAGGACCCTGGGCAGTGTCTCACAAATGACATAAATGACATCCTGCTCTGTGGAACCTCTGTTGAGCTCCTCAGGAACACAAACCAGAGCTGGTGAGGAAGGCAGGACTGCCCAGGCCTTGAGAGGCAGAGAGCAGCCCTGAAATCATCAGGGCACTGCGGAGCAGCCAGTCAGACAGTGTTCCCCTCTGTCTTTCCCTTCCCTGGCACAGAAGTGGCATCAAAGCAAGGCCACTGATGGCCCTCCCGAGCTCCTAAATCAGGCTCTAGGGCTGTTGTCAGCTGTTGCCTGCTCCTGGTCCAAGAGCATGTACAGATTCCCTCTGTCTTCTCTCCTCCTCCATCACAGAAGTAAGGAAGAAATGCTCTCCTGGATCCTGCGAATCAACCTCGTTGCTGCCATTTTCTCTGCTCCAGCCTTCCCAGCTGCAATCTGCTCCATGAAGAAGTTCTGCCGCCCGCTCCTGCCCTCGTCCATGACCAAGCTGTGCCAGGTAATGTGTGAGAGGAGTGGTGGAGGTGTGCCCAGTGCTCAGGAGGCCCTTCAGAGCAGGGTCCCCCTGTTTCTGCCTGAGGGGCACACTCAGGTGCTCCGTGCAGGAACAGGGGAGTGCAGTGGGCAGATTGGAAAGACATGGAAAATCCTGGAATCTGGCCAGTGCTTCCTTTGCACTGGCTATAGACAGCCCTATGCACACACCTGCCTGTTGGTTCTGGCTTCTTTATTGCTCTTTGCCCATCACATCCCAGCACCTTCCTGCTGCTGTAGGGGAAACAGCAGAATAGCTCCAGAGTTGATGCAGCAGAGCCCAACAGCCCAGGTTTGGTTTAGATCTTGGCACCCTCTTGTTTCTGGAGCTGAAAAACCACGGATGAAAGGGATGCCTGAGTTCCAGTCAGTAGGGAAGGTTTTCTGGAAACAAGGGGGCACGGTGCACCAGGCTCAGCTAACCAAGAGCAGCTGCCATGCAGAGAGTAGCTTTTGTTTCCCTGTCCTGGGAAGGCCCCAAGGTGCCTTAGCACTTCCAAAGAGTAGGGACACACTGCCATGGCCCCCCAGCACGGGGGAGGACAGCCTGAAACATCAGGGCAGAGACACAGCTCCTGCCTGCTGAGACAGATGTGGCCAGATCTGACCTTTGTCAGAGCCCAGACGGGGAGGGTACTTGTACCCCCAAAAGGAGCAGGATGAGCAGCTCTTGGGACAGCGCTGCTCCTGCCTGGCTGCTAGAGGATGCATGTTACAGGAGCGTTTTGTGCTTATGATGCCAAAGATGCCTCGGTGCCAAAGAAATCCACTCTTGGCACTTGAGATACCTGAGTTTTGCTCTTACTCCAGTACCTGTGTTTGAGCTGCTCCTTATCAGATGAATTTGCAAGTGCAGAGCACACCTTTGGCTCCAGCACAGCAGCTGAGCTCACGCCCCTGCAGAGAGAGTTCCCCCAGCCACAGGCAGGCGGAGCACTTGGGTGCTGCACTCCCACGTTTTAATACCTGACACGCTTCTCTCGGCAGGAGGAACAGCTGAGGTCTCATGAAAATAAAATGAAGCAGATTGCAGACGAATTAGCAGAGCATAAATTACATCCTGTAGAGAAGAGCCTCAAGTCAAAAGAGGCTGAGGAATACAGACTCAAAGAACATTACCTAATATTTGAGGTAAAGGAACTTTCATCTTTTCTGTGATAAATGATACCTTGGCTGATTGAGAACTCCAGAGTGGGTGCTGTGAGTCTGGGAGAGCGTGAAAGGAGACAGAAGGACAAGGGCACCCAAGCTGGATGGGTGTCTTGGGGCAGCAGAAAGCCTCACTGTTTTGCACTGAAGCTGAAAAAAGAAATAAGAACCATTTACTTCCCTCCGTGATTTCTAACCAGAGGAGGGGAAAACTGACAAGGGAAAGAAAATCTTCCTTTACTGTGCCAAATTTTGACATTTCTTCAGGTCCCAAGTAAGACAGTTCAGTTCTCAGTGTGACTCGTTGTTTTCCAGCAACATAAATAAAAAGCAAAGAAAAATCATAGGAGAATTAATCTTATTTTGCTGCAACAATTTTTGTAAATAAAGCCAAACACAGTGTTACAGCTGAATACAGACCCTTTGAGGATGCATGTAAATAAGTTTTAACTCCCTGGAAAATCTAAGAAGCATTTAACTGTGGGAGAAATGGGGTATTTTGTTCCAGTGAGAGTTGAACAGGTGTGGTTCCTGCTTACATAGGTATCAGTAGAAGGGACTGCTGGAGGCCTCTAGTCTTGCTTCCAGCAGGAACTTGGATTATTCCCAGTCTTAGCCCAGACTGAGTGTGCCGTTTAGTGGCAGAGCCCCAAAAATCAAAAAGGATGGAAAAATCCCATCTCCCTCATGCCAGGGCTGCACCATCCTTTTGTGTAACGCCCATTCTGATTCTCCAAATCCACAGCTCTTTCCCTTCTCTTTGTACCAGCCTTCCAAATAGTTGCTGCTGCCTCCCTTTTTCCAGCATCTGGTTTTGGATGCCTACAGAGAGGTCTCTATCTGAGCTTTTCTCTGGACTGCCTTTTCAGTCTTCAAGGAGAAATTGGCACTTCCAGGGCATAATTCATCTCATCTGTCTTATGAGATGTGCTCCAGAAATGCTTGTTTCTTTGTGCTGACAAAGGAGCCAGCACAGGCTGCCTCTGAGATGTTCAGAGAAAGGATGGGTATTACACAAGTCCTCGAAAAGATCCCATCTAGCATTGGAACAAAGGATCCAGGCAGAGAGGATGCCTCCCTTTATGCTGTGCTCTGTGAGGAGCATCGGGGGCACAACTCAGCAGCAGTAACTGAACCACTGGATGGAAACAATGACAAGCAGAAGTATTTTAACCAATCAAGGCGAGCTCCTAAATCAGGAAGCAGCAGGTCTGCTGATCTCACTTTGCCCCCAGTATCCTCCTTATACAATCACAGTGGCAGCCAAGACCTGTAAAAGCAGCTGGAGGGTCCTACACACACCCACACACACCTTTCTCCTCAGACCTTCCAACAATCAGTCTTGGCACAGAGCAGGCGTTGTGCTGGGGTTCCGTTTGTGGGGTGTGATTAGCGGGATGCTGATGGTACGGGATGGGTTTTCCTGCAGCAGCTGATGGAATTGTTCCTGCGTGCCGCACACACCGTGGCCTGTCCCTGTTCCCAGGCTCTCTGTTCCCTCTTTCCCTGCAGAAGAGCCGCTATGAAACATACATCAACCTGCTGTGCATGAAGATAAAAGTGGGGACAGACGACCTGGAGAGGATCGAGACCAGTTTCTTCAAGGTGGAAGCCGATGACCTCGCTTTGCGGAAGACGCACTCCAGCCCTTCCTTGAGCCAAGGGCACATGTCCATCAGCTGTAAGGCAGAAAAGGACATTTTAGAGCAGAACACTTAACAAGGAACATGTGCACGGGGGGATGAACCGGCAATGCTCTGCGCTCCTGGACTTAGATTGATGAGCACAATTTTACTTAGGAAATTGTATGAGCAAAACTGTAGACATGTATGACATGAGGATTGCTCTAGTGAAAGAAATCAAAGAAGCTTTAGTTGACACTCTCTGACAATGCTCTGGCATTTCAGCATCATCTCTTCTTCATTCCCAACTGCACCGGTGGCTTTTCTTTCCCTCCTGCTGCAGCCTGCACAACAAAGGGATATGCTGGTTCTTCAAGGGCTGGGTCGCTCTTTCCTCCACCAGCCCCGTCCCTCCTCCTTCCCTCCCTGGAATCCCCAGCGGTTCATGGTCACAGTCCCCAGCACTGCAGGAAACTGAGCCAGGACGACGTCTGTGGCACCACCAGCGCTCCCAGAGAAGGGCACAGGGTGGCAGGGGCACGTCCCTGCCCCAGGAGGAGCACGGCGCGGCAGGACGGGTGTCGTGAGCTGGTCACCGACCGGGCGAGAGGCGTCTTCAGCACGGCCACGTGGGAACGTCACCTGCCCACGGCAGGAGAAGCCTGAAGGGCCCCCTGTCATCTTATCCTTTTTATATATATATATATATACATATGAATATATATATAAATAAATATATATATGAGGAAACGTTAACGTGGGTTTTTAACCTCAGTGTGTAAGTGAAGGCAAGCTGCCTGGGGAAGACATTAGGGATGTGGAGGGTCTGACCAGCCCACCAGGATGTTCTAAAAAAAATGGAGTAGCTGTGTATCTTTTTTTTTTTTTCTTTTTTCCTTTTTCTCCTTTTTTTACTCGAATGGAAATCCCACCTGGCTTTGCTGTGAAACATCGCTCTCCCATTCCTGCTTATTCAGACAAACTGCCCAAATGGCTGCTATTTTGGCAACCACGGGATCCAGCACTCTGGGTTCGAGGCACAACTGGAGCCGTGCACGAGCTCCTGCGGAACCTTTGCGTGCAGGAGCGATCCCACCTGCCCGTCCCTGCTGTATTCCTCCATCCTGCGGTGCACATGCTGTACTCTTTTAAGTGGGAATTGTGTTTCTGTTCCTTTCTGCTGTCTGTGGTCCAATGATTTATTGTTGTGCTGAAGTGATTCCTCTGCATTTCAATGCCACGACTGTCCTCCCACACTTTATTTATTTCAATATTCTGTTTGATCCTTTATCTCAGATTGCTTTTCTTTCCCCTAGGTGCGTTCACAGTAATCAAGTTCCAGTTTTGAAGGATCTTGTAGCTGCTAATTACAGTCATTTATTGTTTATATTTTGCAGCATTTTTTAAACAAACAAAATAAGATTTATTTGGACCTTCAGTATTTGAGAGCCTACGGACTACTGTTTTCCATGATGGTTCATGACACTAAAAACCTCTTCCCAACTTTATCTCCTCTTCTTTTATCTCTGTTTCTTTGTACAGTTTGATAGTTTATTTGAAATGATGCACTAAGAATCATGTAAAAAAAAAGAATAACAATAAAACTGAATCTGTTGGTAAAGAGAATTGGTCTGAAGCATCGTTCCACCATGTGCTGGATTGATCACAGATTTCACAGCACCAGAAGACCAGGCTGATTCAGATGTCCACCAGCACCTGATGCAGAAAAGCCAGGATCCTGTGGATAGACAGCACCAGGAAATATCAATTCCTTTCCACAAGTGGGTACCAGCCTGCCCATCCTCTTGGATGGTTCTGGAGCGGGTGTGGATACATGGGCTGCTTTGGGAAGACATTCAAGTAACTCTTCCCTCTCTCTGGTGCATCCCAGGTGTGGCTGTCAACATACAGCCTAGAGATTTATGGGAGCAGAAAGGTCCCAAGCCCTGCATTAGTGACTGGAGATGTTCTCACAACGGTTCCCAGAGGAGTCTGTGGCTGTTTCTCCAAGGCATCATTGTGTTTGTGTCAGGTATTTTACAGACTTGCACCAAAGACCTCCGAGATGTTTCTACTCACAGGAAGTGTCTGGTGCTGAGACTTTCACAGTGGAAGTCCAGGAGAAAGCTGGGCCCAATTCCTCCTCTCCAAAATCCCAGGTAATATTTTGTACCTCAGTCTTCCCTTCTGAGCATCCCTTCCAGCAGGCAGTGACGTCCCCAGTGTGTTTGAGCTGCCACCAAGAGCAGCTCAGCCCCCTGGGTGAAGGTGCCAGCCTGCCATCCTCAGCTGGAAGTAACTTGCAGAGAAAAGCAAGATCTTGGACAAGTCTCCTCTGGGCAGCAGGAAAGAGACTCAGAGCCGTGAGCCTGAACAGCCAGTGGATGTGGGAAGGGATGGAAGCTGATGTCAGACAACACTTGGCAAGACAGCTCAGAGTACTAAACTTGCTCTTACTGAGTACCTGCAGTTTGCTTCCTGCACAAGTCCTGATCCAGGTGCACAGGCACATGTAAAGGTGTTGAGAGCATCTTACCTACGTGAGGGCAGAGCCAAAAACACCTTGTTTGACCAATCCACAGCCTCAGCTTGTGACTTGGAAGAAAACGGATTTTTTCATCCCTTTTCTCCCTCCCTGGAGATCAAGGACTCAGTCACCCACCACTAAGAGAGAAGAGCAGCGGAATTCTCAGAGGAATTAGGCAGCCACATCCTTTTCTCCTCCTGGAGTTACTCAGATGCACTTTCTGCACCTCCCCAGTGTGTGTCAGCCCCTCCAGCAGGCACCATGACTGCTTTGGGTCTCACACAACCTCACCTGGCAATGCTGGTTCAGCCTGGCCTCCCTGCCAGGGCACAACCACATTCATTTTGGAGAGACTTCTTTGTGGGGGAGACTTTGTGACCCCAAGCCAGGATCTAGAGCTCCTCTCCTGCTTGTGTCACCGATCTGTGTCAGCAGAGCAACTCCTTCCCCTCTGGGAAGGGCAGTAAAGGCACCATAAATGCAGAGCAGAGCTGTCAGGAGGCTTTGGTGGCTCCCCCACCTGTGAAAGTTGCTGTAAAATATTTACGGCAGAACCCTAGGAACACACATGGCTGGAAATGAGGAGTCTAAAAATAAACCAGCCAGGGAAAAAAGAGAGAGATGCAGGCTCTCTTCAGAGGCAATTGGAGAGAAAATTGAAGTAGCGTAACTGCCTCTAAATATAGAACACAATTATGGGAATCAAGGGGCACGTTTAGCAAAAAAAGTCACCACAAAGAATCCTGAGGCTGCCATGGCTCAGAGCTAGTGGTGTCTCAGTGGATGCAGAACATCACAGATCCCTGCAAATCATGGAGCAGGGAAGCATCCCCCTGTGCAGGACAAACCCACAGCTCCTCTCCAAGGGACCCAGAGAGATTCCTGGTGGGGATCAGCTGCATTGAGCACACCCTGTGATGTGGCCACACGGTTGTTCTGCATGCCAGGGACACACAAGAGCTCTACCTTCTTATAATGCAGGTGCTGCTGTGCCAGCCTTGGGGGCACTTCTCCATGAGTGGAGCTCAGAGATGCTGAGGAGAGTCAGGCAAGGAGATGGGGCTGCTTTGGGAAGCCAAAGACACCCAACCTCTCTCTTCCATGTGCCTGCTTTCCCCAGGGATCAGCCTTGGTGTTAATCCACACGTCCTTTCCAAGGGGTCAGGTGTTCTCTGCCTGTTCCTGCCCATCTCACCTTGCTCTGGGAGCCACTGGAAGAGCTAAGATGGATCAAAGGTGACGGGGAGCTGGGGCATGCCCCAAGAGAAACAGGAGAGTGGAGAGCTGCACGGCTGCCTTCACACAGCGAGGCTTGGGGCTGCACAGAAGTGGGGCACAAAGGCAAATGTCACCCAAATCAGGACTTGGCCCTACCACCTCTAGCCCCAGGTCTAGTCACCTAACACCTCCCTTGCATGTGCTGTGGGGTGACATGGGCCCCATGGTGGGAGGGAAGGATCCTTCAGACTTTAACCTGCTGGGAAATCAGTGTTGAGATGTCTCCATTCTGGGTGGAGTGCTGAGCTCTCTGGTCTCTCTGGAGGCCCCACAGGACATGCCATGAATGTTTGGGGTGGCCTGTGACCCAGCTGGGTCAGCTCCAGGGCAATGGGCATCCGGGGGGGTTGGAGCAGAAGAAGCCCAGGCCGTGGGTGGGCTTAGTCTGGCCTCCAGCATGGGCAGTTCTGTGAGGGCTGGGGAGTTCTCTCACAGCTCTGGGCATTCATAGAATGATTTGGGTTGGAAGAGACATTAAAAATCATCTAATTCCAAGCAGATCAGTTAGTTCCAGCCTATCCATTTCAGTAGGGTCAGCTCACCGAGACAGATCCCTCTCCTGTTAAGTGAGTGCAGCTGGGACTTTTGGGTACCTGTTCATGTCACTGAGCAGGAACAGGGGAGTGGGTTCTGAGCTGGATGGAACCATGGGTTCCACCTCAGGGACTGTGCTCCTGTGGCCACACCACACTGTCAGTGAGTCCCTCACACGGGGATAGCCAGAGACACAGATTTCCAGGGGAGGAGCTGAAGAAAGGACCTGTTTTGTGGGTGGGTCAGTGCTGCACGGCACCACAGCGCCGGCAGGGTTGGACCCAACACATCTCCACTCTCTTGAAGTCACTGAAATAGGTGCCAGGTCATAGCACATCCTGACCTCACATGGCACAACTGGAAACTTCCATGGCTCAAGTGAAGGGGGATCTCCTGACCTGCAGTTGGAGGAGGAGTGGGGTGCCCCCAGGAGATGTGTGGGTAGCATTCACTCACCTCAATGAGCCTCCACTCCTGAGCCCTGCAGGGAAGGTCAAATGTCCATGCCAACTAGACCCATGGGTCTTTATGGGCATAAAGATCTTTACTGAGCCAGAGCATCTCTCATATGAGGAAAGGATGAGAGAGATGGAACTGTCCAGCCTGGAGAGGAGAAGGCTCAAGGGGGCTTTATCCATGTGTATAAACACCCAGTGGATGGCAGTGAAAAAGAGGGAGCTGGACTCTTCTCAGCAGTGCTCAGGACACGAGGCAATGGGCCTAAAACAGAGAATGAGGCAAAGGGCCCAAATTAAAAATTAATAAATCCGGTCCAAATACAAGAAGACAAATTTTTGCTTTGAGAGGGACCAAACACTGGCAGAGGTTACCCAAAGAAGTTGTGGTACTGCCATCCCCAAAGATACTCAAACCCTGACTGGGCACAGGCCTGGGCGGCTGACTCTGGGTGAGCTGGTGGAGCAGGAAATGTGGAAGAAGTCTCTTTCAGCCTTATCCAGTCTGTGTTTCTGTGTATGGTGCCAGTCACAGCTCCCCATTTGCCCCCCAAAGGGCCTGAGATTAATGCAGCCCACAACTTGTTATTTCTTATTTTATTTATAATATAAAAAATGTTCAAGTGTTAAACAGTCAAGAGTTCTGACATTCAGACAATCCAGAGCAAACTTTGACAATCATCTTATGACAAATTAGCAGAGTTTTCTATCTGACCCCATCATGGGTGAGGAATAGAGGGTTTAGTTACTTTATTGCTAAAAGTTAAATGAAATAATACACTGTCAATTGTTGTATTATCTTCTCAGTCACAGCTTCACCATGCATCCAATCTACAGTATCTGAAATGCAAAGGACATGCAGAAGTAAAAATATAAAAAGAAAAAAGTCAGGCTACAATGTAAACAGGTTTGCTGCAGAGAACTGAGGAGAGGGGGGCACTTCCACAGGGGATGCTCTGCCGCCTGGACACGCAGGACTGTCTCTTTGCGCCACAGAGCCGATGGCCAGAGCTGCTCCGAGTTTGGGAACGCGACGTCCGTCATCGATGGCAGGACGTGATGGTAACAACTGTCTTTACAATACGTGGCACGGCCGTACGGGAGAATCCGCTCGCTGGGCTGCCCCACGCAGGGCCCTGCCCGGCCGAGCCAGGGGCCACAAGCGGAGCCCAAAGCGCTCGGGGTCCTACTGACCCTTGGGGCAGCGTGGCTGGATACCGCCTGGCTCCGTGCCCAGGGTGACACGCGGCCGTCAGCGCCACGGGACCACCTTGTGGGTGTCCCCCAGCACCCCGGCCAAGGGTGTCACCACAGCTCCGTGGCCCCACGCGCCATGGCCAGCGCTCAGCCGAGGGGACGCCGCGGCCAGCATGGCGGTGGGGCGGCCACGTGGCCACGGGTGCCGTGGCTGAACAGAGCCGCCCACTGGGACCACCGCGCAGGGCCAGCTGCCAGGGCTGGCTCAGCGACCCGGATTCAAGGGTACGTGACAGGTGTGATCCACCATGGTCACAGGGGTGTCTGCCTGGCCTCACTACAAACCTGTGCCAACCCCATTCCAGACCCACCGGTGAGATGGCCAAAGGTTGAGAGCTATATTGTAAGGGCTGCTGCTGCTGCTGCGCGATTTCATTTTCTCTTCCTACCTGTGTGGCAAAAGAAACATTATTTCTGCATTTCAGCACAGTGCTGTTGGGTTTCTTTTTCTCCTGATTTAAGCGGAAATACAAGTAGTTCACAGGGCAAGACAGATCCTCGTTAGACATGATAATGGAAATGCTCCCACTCATGTCCTTAATGTGTGTTTAAACAATACTTTAAAGAATAAGATCATTAATAGCAGGGTACGGGGCAAAGTGGCAAGGCTGTTTTCTTCCAACAGAAAAGCGCCCTTGTGACAGGTTGTCTCCCAAACAAAAATCTATGACCTTAAAAATGCTACTGAAACAGAATCCTCGGCATGAATCCCAGCACTAGCATACAGCAAAAGGCACCACGATAGTTTTGTTTTCTATTTTTAAGTAGTCAAAAATTGGCCCACTTTTTTTTTAACTTTATTGTTTGTTTTCTTTTCTTTTTTTTTTTTTTTTTTTTACTTTTTTTTTCTCGGAAGCTGTAAATCAAGACATTACATATAAATAGAGATTCCCTATAAAAAAGTCATTGTCGTTAGCTATTATAAGACAACTTTGCTAAAATGAAAATAAAACATTTTTATTTGTTATATTTTTTGTTTTTCCCTCTTTTATATAAAATAAAAATATTTAATTTTTTTTGTTTTCTTTTGTTTTGTTTGTTTTGTGTGGTTTTTTGTCTCGCCTCGGCCTCCCTCCTCTCGGCCTCCTCCATGCGGGTCACGGCTGCGCGCGCAGGAGCGCGGGAGGCGCCTAGAGAGGATCGGGGTCCGCTTTGGGCGCCACGTGGCCCAGGCTGCCGCGGCCGCCATCGCCGTGCGCGTTGTGCCCGCGGCACGAGTAGTGAGTCCGGCTGTCGCCCGGCCGGTGCAGCGGCGGCGACTCTGTGTGCGCCACCTCATTGTTCTGAGTGCTTAGGAACGGGGTGCTCTCGGCCACCAGCTCCTCGTCAGACTCGCTGTAAGAGGCGCTGCTCAAGGAGAAGGAGTCCCGGACGGCTCTGGCTCTGTGAGGGATGTGCCCGTTCAGTTTGGATTTTTTCCACCGCCTGTTGCTGCTGGCTGTTTTCTTTGGCTGCTCTAGCGCTGTGACGTACTCCTGCGTCGTCTCGTACTCGTCGTCCTCTGTGATGCGGAAGGGGCTGGAGGGCAGGCTCCCCATGCTGTCGTTTAGGTAGGTCTTCCTTTGGTAGTAGCTGTCGTACCTCTGCGTGTCCTGGAAGGGGAGCTGGTACCGCCGCAGCAGGGGCTGCTGCTCCTCCACGCGGAAGCTGATGGGGGCCGCCGGCGGCAGGGACACGGCGTGCGCCGAGTTGGGGGAGGTGATCTCGAAGGTGGGCACCTGCGTGGTCATCGAGTAGTGGAAGTCAACAGGCGACAGGCGTGCTGGTGTGGTCAGGGCCGACACGTACCTGGAAAAGCAACACTTCTGTTTGGACACGGAACGAGCCCGAAAACCACCGGCTGAGCCCAGCTTTGCTGAACACCAGGGACCAGTGAGGCCTCCAGTGAACCTGCTCGTGGAGGTTCTCCTGGGAATCAGGTGGAGGGACCTTGCACTGCTGCAGCAAGGGAGGGTGAGCTGCTGGCTTCAATGGGCAGCATGTGCTGAGCATCCCCCAGACTGCTTCTCCCAAGGGACTCGGTGCACAGTTCTCACTCTGCATTGCTGCAAACCCTGCAGCATCTCCCAGCAAGCTGAGTCACGGCTTCACTGCCTCTCATCTGCCTGACAGCTGCTTTCTGTTCCCTCTGGAGCTGCCAGGCGTGTCTCTGAGGAAGGTCCTTGGAATTCCCTCTCCCTGCTCAGGCCTCAGATGGGGAAAGCCTGGCATTGCTTTCTCTGACTTAGCAAAAGTCTCATGTCTCAAAAGGCCATCTAACCACTTTCACCTACTCTAGTGACAACATCAGTGTGGTCACTCAGGTCTGGTCTAGCCCCTCTCCAAACAACCCTTCCTTCAGCACCACCTCTTTCTGAGGAGCAGATCTTATTTCCTCTTCGTATTGCCAGAAGTGTCTCTGCCCAGGCTCTCTCACTCATCCAGGGCCTTTTTACCCATGTGTTTTGTGGTGTATGAGATCTCCATAGGAGCTGGGTCAGTCTGCCTGAATGGACCAGGGGCAGGAAGGAGAGCAGGAGATGCTGCCTTTCTCCTCTGCCCCATGGACAAGTTCTACTGCCTTGAAATGTAACTGCCCAAGAGAGGCCACAAGGCCACCAAGAGTCACTCATGGCTACCAGCAAAGGGCTGGAGCAAGGGTGGAGATGTGCTCCATGAGGAATCAGACTGGGAAGAGGACGAATGTTACTGCTGCTGCTGGTGTCTGAGCTCTGCAGTTGTGTTCCTTGAAGGCTGGGTCACGCCAAGTCCTGTCCCAAGGCTGTGCCCACAAGCAGCACCCTGTCACCTGGCCATCCAGGACTGGGCTGAGAACAGACACTTTTCCCCAAACAACTGAGGGCCAGACCCTGCTTGGCAGCCCACCAAGCTGCCCAGGGTGTTCTCCCAGCCAGTTTTTCTCTACCAGTTGCTGACTGCAGCCAGGCATATTCTGCTCCTGTCACCCCTGTGCTCCAAACCTCCATTGCCAGCAGACTGCAGAACTGGCTGCTGCCCCGACCAGAGGGGCCTCCTGGGGAATTGGCTTCCTCTGGTAGAACCAGGGCTGGAGTTTCCCAATTCTACCATGGCACCGCTGCTCTAGGGCTGGCAAAGGCAAACATTTTTGGGTTTGGCACAGAAGCATGGCTTGCCTCTGCTGTGCTGTGGTGGCAACATGCAGTGGGGTCTGACCTCTCGCTGTGGGGCGAGTCCCGCAGGGAATCCACCGAGTCGCGGTACTGCGTCGTGGGCCTCCGCTGGTCCTCGATGCAGAAGGTGGCCCCGCGGCGAGCCCGTGCCTCCACGCACGCAGGGCTGTTGCATTTACTGGTTCCCACTGAGGACAGCATTATCCCAGACTGGGAATCTGAAGTCAGGCTCTCTGTTCTCTCCAAGCTCCAGGTGTGGCTTTCATGTCTGTGGAGCAAAGCCCATGTGGACAGTGAGCAAGGAATCCCCACCCAGCTCTTCTCCAAAGACACAGGCACTGCTCACACTCAGCTCTGCAGCTCTGCAGCTCTGCAGCTCTGCAGCTCTGCAGCTTTGTACTGGTGTCCCCCTTCTCTGTCTCTCTCTCTCTCTCTCATTAGCATATATCTGGCCAGGGATGCCCAGATTCCCAACCCTACCTTTGATTTGCCTTTCTTTGCTCCTTCTTGAAGATGCCTTTAGAGGACAAAGAAAGTAAACCAGTGCAATAGCAGGTATTTATCCCACCACAGAATAAATGGGAGCAGGATGGGACAGCCTCTGGAGGAAGGCCAGGGCAATTCTGCTTTGTGCTTGCAAAGTGTTCTGGGTGTGGAAAAACACCTTGGCTATGCCAAAGCAAGTCAGCCAAGTTCCTTCAAATGTGCCACCTGCACTGCCAAGTGACAGCCCCTTTGGAACTGCTACCAGAGAGGAGCCAAGAGAAGCCACTCAAAATTAGCAGAGCACAGTCTACTCAAGATTTTGGCAGCAAAACACGTTCAAGGTGCTAGACAAAGACCATGATGTGCTGAGCAGCCAGAGCCCCACCACCCCCAGTCTTGGTGCAAGGGGGACATCCCACAAGGACTCACCAGGGATGCCAAGGCCACCTGCACTTTGGGGTCCCAGCAGTGCCTTGGCCACCACGCTGACCCCCACCATTGCAGAAATATGTGATCCATGAGAGCAACCCCCCTGAACTCCCAAAATGCACCAGATGAAGCTGTGTGGGTGGAGGATTTTGGATGGGGGTTTACAGAGGAGAGAAACCCTCATTAAGATTTCCCAAGAACTTGTTAATTATTGATGGCTCCAGGCACATGCTCATTTATAACTTCAAACAGCATCCTCATTAGAGGTGCTGATGGAGTAAAATGGAGCCTGATTATGCCAGTAGTTTGCCTCTGGCATGACTTCAAGAAGCACCTGCTTGCTGCACTTGACTCAGGAAAATGAGGTGGCAAGTAGCCAGGACCAGAGGCTACCCAAGGTAGGTTCCTCCCTACAGCTGTCATGAGCTAATGCTGCCCTCCAGACACACCTTTGCATCTTCAGAAGGTGCCCAGGGATGGCCCAAGCCTTTGAAGTGAGCATGGAAGGCCAGCAAGGTGCGCCTCTGCAGGCACAGGAGCCTCTGTGTGTACTTGGCTCAAGCTTGCACACCCCTAGCCAGGGCTGGGCTGAAGAGTACAAATGCAAAAAAACCTGGAAAACACATAGTCTAGCTCATGAGCAGTGGGATTTCCCTGGGAAAAAAGAATCGTTCCCAGCTGGTCAAGTCATTCCTGGCTCCCTCTCCACTTGCTGGAGGTATAGTCAGAGGAATCTGGGGAGGAATTCACCTGAAAATCCAAGTTCAACATCTGAAGTTGATCTTGCCCGTTGTAATTGAGAGTACTTGCTCAACCCTGAGGAATGCCTGGACCCTAAGGAAACCTACCTGGAGCCATCTGTGAGCTTTAGCTGAAAGAATTCCTGCATTCCTGGATGAATGGAGAGAACCCCATCAGGCCAATGAAGGACATGAGCCAGACATATCAAAGGCAAGTGATCTCCAAGGTCACTTACTGGGAGAAGCACAAGAGCTGTCTAAGAGGAACTGGAACTCCCAAACTCAAAACAGCACAGGACTTCCTTTAGAGCATTTGAGGGACTTTTCTGGACATCAGTAAAATAGGGAAGTCCATCTTTAACTTAAATGTTCTCAAAAACCTTGAGAAGATTCAGGTTCCAAGCCATGGTGTTCTTCCCCCAATGGTTATTTTGAAATGGAAACAAAAAATAATGTCTCATCCTTTGTCACAAAGCATTATTGGTACTTTCCTGCTAGACCAAGTTTTCCAAAAAGTTTCAGAATGATTTCCAGTGAAAGTGGTGCCACCACCCGAGGTGGAGGTTGATAAATTTCACAGGAGCATTTTCTTTCTGGTCAAAACCTGTGACTTACAAGTCAGACCTTGACTCTAAGGAACCAATCAAAACATTTGGTGATATTTTGTGTACTTTGTCTCCCACAAGGCAAATACATTCTAAATGTGAAACACATAAGCTGTGTGTGCTTAATGAAGTATTTCAAATGTCCAGTGTGGCTGCAAACACAACCTGCAAAACCTTTCCTACACATGTCCTCCCATCTGGGACTGTGCAAAGCATGGAAGCACAGGTTCATTTCCTCCTGCTTTCCAGCTGTGTCAGTGCTGCAGGATCCTGCTGGCACCTCCCTGCAGGTCAAGGAGCACACTGTTCCATACCTCTCACTAGGCAGCTGTGCCTGCCAAGTCCTGCAGTGTAGACATGGCACTATGTCACTACAGAGCCAAAGATCAAGTGAAAACAGAAAGGGAGCTGAAAGGAAAATCTTAGAATCTCACAGCATCCTACAGCAAATAGCAGGAGAAAACAGTATACATCACCTCTGGCTGGACGTTGGAGTGGCTGTGGAGCAGTGATGAGATGGGGAGCAGGAGTGACTTCCTGAAAAGGTTGTCTCTGTTTCCCTTCGGATCACGTGCTCGGTGGCAGAAACATTCTTAGAAATATACTGCAAAATAGGAAGGATCACACAGATCAGTCACCAGTCTGTGAATGCTGCCAAAGAAAAATTTAACTGGCCTGATTATTTCTGTCAAAATCAGGTGAGGACTGAGTGAACCCAGAAGCTCTGCAGCCCACAGGAAGGGACAAGGAGGGTGGAGGCTTTTCTCTGGCCCTTCACTTTGAACACTGGTAAAGGGCTGTGGCACAGGGATTGCAGAAGAGTTTGGAGAGCCAAGGGATTCCCCAGAGGACAGTGGTACCATATGTAGCTACTGAGCAGAGACACAGCTCTGCCCACAGCTGGTTACACCCAACCGAGTGCCAGCAAAAAGAGAACAAGGTGAAATCTCTCAGAGCTGTGAGTCCTACAGAAACGCCTGATGTTACCCAAATATTTATGCTGAAATATTCCTTCATCTAACAACCAGTCCTGCTTCTTACAGGGGCACTAAGCTCTCTGAGAGAGTCACTACTATGGGGCGGGGGCTGTGGTTCTTAGAATTCCCTTTCCCCCCTTTTTTCATGGTTGGGATTCAACCTAGCTAAATTTTAATATCCTAAGGCTGACCCAACAGAGCTTGCAGCTCATTCACTGGACTCACTTCTAGCAGTATTTCTTGTTTGGCTCTGTCTCCCCCTTACCTTTTCCTGACCCTGTTCAAGGCCTTGGTCCAGCAAGGCACTTAAACCCCTTGATGGCCCTATGGAGTTCATGGGATTTGATGGGAATCTTGCACGACTGAAGTCACGAGAGTGGTTGAGAGACCTGAGCCCTGAGCCCTCTGCATCCTGTCCTAAAGAGACTTAAGATTGTTCTCATTTGTGTGGCAGTGGTATCCCACCAGGACTTGCCACCTTGCCCAGGACAGAATCCTTGGCATGGGCAGGTGGGCTGGTGGACAGCTGACCACATCACCATGACGTGCTCAACCGTGGTGGCTCCGGTCACTGCCACAGTGATCCCATTTGTCATCCCACAAAGTGGGACTTGACAGGATAGCATAATAAACAGGAAACATTGGGAACATCTCCCTTAGTGGAAATCAGGGTCACACTTGATTAATCAAAACAAGCCTATCCCAAAAGCCCGAATCTCATCCTGTACTTCAAAGCAAAATCACATTTCCCTTCAGATGTTGGTTTTGGAAACGTTTCTATGCAGAATCTTTCCTTTTGCTCAAGTTTGTTTGCTCTTTGCTCATCACAGACAGGCACACAGGTGTGCAAGGATACACATCCACGTCAAACCCCTGGCAGAAAACAGCCCCTCAGCAGCATGCAGGGAGATGGAGGCAAAGGGTCTTACATCAGCCATTTGGATTTCCTCAGGATCCAAACGTGGATGGCTTGGCCCGTTCGCAAGGCTCCGGTTTTGATGAGCAGGACACATGTTCTGCCGCAAGTGGTTATGCATTTGTTTTCTTTGTTTCCTTTAGAACAGAGGAAATCTATTAGGAACACTTCTGTCACAGGGCTCTCTGCCCCCAGAGATGAAAGAGAAGGCAAGTCTTGGACATGTGAATGTTCCAATGGCATTTGGAGGAAGTTGCAAACAACAAGAAACAAGGCACTCAACACTTAACACCTCCTACTGCTTTTCCAAACAAAAGGTCAACTTTTCTTCTCATGGACAATTTGGGAAGGTGGGTCCAGGGTCCAGCACAATGTAGCAGAGCCAGCTGGCAGTGGAGGAGAAAAGTGGGGAGAAGGAAAAGGGGAAGTGAGTCCTGACTTGGCCTTGGTGACAGAGCACTTGACCTGTCCTGCCTGAAGGACAAAGTGACAAAGCCTACCCATGCCCGTGGTGGGACATCTGCTCCACAAGACCCACTGAGTAACAGGGGCACTCTGAATTGAGGTGAAGGCTGAATAGGGAAAAAAGTGCTGTCCAGGCAGGGAAGGCTGACCATAAAAGAGGTTCCCAAGTCACCTGTTCCATTAGGATTGCTCTGGAAGTCCCTGCAAGGTACCTAGCTGAGCCCACAGCTCCAGCACAATGGCCCAGTGTGCTTCTGTTGGCAGAAGCTGAGCTGCTGGCTTGGGGGCCAGCTTTCCCCTGTAACACAGCACCACCTGGCTGGGCACAATGATGCTGTTCCAGGGGACAAGCAAATGGTGCCAGGAAAGCATCTTATTCAGACACAGTCTGGTAGACAGCTTCACTGGCCACCTGCACGAGACCTTCCTGGGGGTACCACAGCACATCATCTCCTAAAAACAGCATCTGGGTGAAAAGCATGGGAGTATGGAACATGAACAGTGCCACTCACTAACCTGTGGCCAGTTCTTGCCTGCCAGCCCCCCATACTCACTTGGTTTTACAGTAAGCTACCACACAGACGATGCCCACCACAAGCAAGGCAACACAGATTCCCGTGATGGTTAAAACCCTCTTCTGGTAGAGCTCCTCTGCTTCTGCAAATGGAGAGAAAGGAAGCAGTCACCGATGGGCTCCAGCAGCAGGGCTGAGTCTGGCTGCACAGGAACCAGCACTGCGTGGGGGTGAGACGGAGGACAGCGCTCAGACAGACCTCCTGCCAATCCACTGCCCGTCTAATGGCTGCCCCAGACCTGAGCCCAACCTTCCTCACCCCTCAAAAGACTCTTTTTGTCTCCCTGCTCCTTTATCCTCTCTGTCTCGGTAGCTCACCCCTTCTGCACTCACGTTTCTCACCTTCCCTTCTTTTCCCACAGTGACTAATCTCAAAAAGCCCCATGACTCTCTTCTCCCTTCCAGCAGATTCCCCCCTTTCCAGTGCCTGGATCACCTAGCAGAGAAGCCCTGGAGCATGCCCCACTCCCCACGAGCACTCACCCTGTGATCCCTGATCACAGGCTCTGCTCTGCCTGGCTCAGGATGGCTCTGCCTTGCAGCAGCTGCATGTCCTGGAGCAGGGTGGTGTTGGGAGGACCACCGAGCAACAGGCCCCAAAGCATGTAGGTGCTGAAAGGGACATCCTGGAACAGTCAAAAAGCAGCATGAGGATGGAAAAGTGATAGTGTGTCAGGCAAAGAAAAGGGAGTGGAGTGATTAAAGTACAGGAATCAGTTATGGATTTTTAATGAATCCCTAGGAGGCAATTCACACCATTGCATCAGAGGCACACACAAAATGTAAGCAGCTTGCTGCTGCCTCTCTCAAATACCACCAAGTGTCACAGGCTAACTTTCAAACTAGAAGAGCCTTGCATCAAAACCCAGACCATGCTGGAAGTGAGGTGAATCATTCCCATCAACCAAAGCTCCCAGGAAATGCTTGGATCTCGTTTGCACTGCACCTAGGCAGCAACACCATGGCAAGGACACCTCTTCCTCCATGGCTGTACCAGGGCAGATGTGACATCCAGCAGCCTCCGCCGAGAGCAGAAGAGGCAATTTGATTCTCCAGCTGGATGACTTGAGAGAAGGATTCAGTGCAGAGCTGCTGTGAGTGTTTCAGTTCAGCAGCTGTGAACAAAGCCCTCGTGCCCTCACACTACATGTTGAAGTTATTGGGGTTTCTGCCCTCTTTAATATTCATTGATTTTTATTTTTTTTTTCCATCTAGATTAGGCAATAAAAGTCATGCCATGGCTGATGTGCTCAGTGTGCTTCACCACACCACTCCAAATACCTTGAAGAGAACATGTGATAGCCCCTGTGCCACCAAACACTCAAATACAAAACCAGAAGAAAGCAGGTCCCAGAAATCCCTGGGACTAGACTTCAGCAAAAAAAAAAAAGTGAGTGGGAAGCAATGAAACATTCCAGACAACTGGATATTTAGAATAATTTCATGCCATTCTAGGTTGAAAAAAGTATTTTTGGAGGAAAAAAAAAGGTGCTAGGAAAAATGGTTACCTCTTTCTAACTCTCAAAATGGGAATGAAGAAAGGTTTGGTAAATGAGGGCTGGCAAGAAAGACAACCCTGGCATGAAGATGAAAAATACAATAAACAAAGTTTTCTGGTGGTTTTTTTCCTACAAGGAACCAGGTGGAGCTGGAATGGGGGAAGAACCCACTTTGGGGCGAAAGTCCTCCTTCAATGACATGTTTCTTTTGCATGGGTGCCTTATTCCAGGCATCAGCAACCATGGCAGACACGTTTTTCTTGCTCTTGCACACCTTTGGGACCTGGACTGAAGTTGTACAGTTCTCTCCTTCAGACAGGAGTTTCAGAGATGTTATACAAATTAGGAAAACCAGCTAGGATCACATCCTGGTTATGGATGGCACTGGGCAAGAATTTTGCTACTACCCAGCAAAAAGTACTTAAAAAAAACAAAAAAGGCTGGGAGGGAGGTCGGGTTTTGGCATGGACTCATCCATCAAGCCAATTTTTACAAAAATTTTTCAATAGCAATGCTTTTTGCTACAAAGACTTTTCTTCCCTAAGCATAAATCATTCCCTTTGAATCATGGAGGAGGAAAAAAGAGCAAAGACATTAAAACTATGGGGGTTCTTTTTGTTTGCTTTTTTTTTGTTTGTTGGTTTGTGGGGTTTGTTTGTTTGTTTGTTTTTGTGGTTTTTTTTTATTTGGATGGGGTTTTTTTTACCTATAAAAGGACAAAAATTCTTTGGCCAAGGCTCAAATCCCAGCCTTTGTTCTGGTGATCATGTCAGTATGGGATCCTGACTCCTGTGTGTCTGCCTGTCCTAAACATTCACCTGAATCTCACAGGGAATGTTTCAGTTCATCAGAAATGCAGATTTGGCCTCTCTGTCTCGAGCTGACAGCTCTGCTACATGAAGCAGTGAAGTGTGAGGCTGTGCATCACTGCTGCAAACTAAAAATTGAATGATCTGCTGATAGTAATTTAGCTTGGCTCCCAACATCTCATTAAAGCTGATGCTCAATCTTCACGTTGCACAAAACCATCTCAACAACAACGGAAAGGAAATAAAGAGAGCGCACACTGCGACTTTGTATTTGAGCAGGAAAGATCCCAGAGCAGGACTGGTCCATTTGTGTCTCTAGGCTCTACAAACACCACGTCTTCATCAGCAGCATCGTCACTTTGACAGCAGCAAACACTATGAACAAACCATGTGGTGCCACACAATGCCGACACAGCCACAGTCCAGCCATGGTGTCACAGCAACGCATGACAGGGACAGACAAATGACAGAGGAGAGACAACTGCAGACTGGGAACAGGATGTGTGCGGTTCTGTGATGACATTGAGAATGGATGAGGAAAAGGACAAAAGGTCAACAAAAAAGGGATGTCAAAAATCCTCAATTTTAAAGTTTGTTCAAGTGTATTAGCATTAGCAGCACCACTTTCTCTGAAGCGCCCTGACTATAAAATTCACGTTTCCTGCACCAGGGGGATGCACGCCAGTCCTGGGGGATCAGGCATGCAGAAACTAGAGGAGATACATTTCTTCAGTTAGTGAATGTCCCTCCACCTCAGGAGGGACCTCAGAAGGAAATTTAGGATCCACAACTGAAAGACTGATGTCCCCATACCTCTAGTAAAGGGAATTGAAGAATTTTCATGTGAAGATCTGCTCTGGCTGACACAATGTTTTTAAGTGGTCAATCATAGAATCATCACAGAATCCTTGAATGGTTTGGGTTGGAAGGGACCCTAAAACTCAACTTGTTCCAACCCTGCTGCCATGGGCAGGGGCACCTTCTACTATCCCAGGCTGCTCAATCTCTCTGCTCCCTCCTGACCAGCCCTCCCTGCTCTTGCCTTGTACACTACAGGGAAAACTTGCCTCAAGGATTTGATTTCCCAGCTGCTTATTCAAGGGAATAATATATTGATATATATATATATTTGATATATATCTAAAACCAGACTGAGGAGAATGGAAAGAAAATCATATGATTATGTACAGCTGAAAAGGAGCAGGTAAATGCCCAAAGGGGATATTTTTAAAAGCATTTAACTTACTGCAGTGTTTTCCCAAGCTTGCCACTGGGGTGCTCAGCTTTACACCCTCCACTCTCATGGGAAACTACTGACTTCCCTGGGACGGTTTCCTAGACTAACTTGACTCATGCCATCTTTCTTAGAAAATTTCATCCTGCCCAAGAACCAAAACAAGCTGCTAAATTTTGGGAGGAGGAATGGAAAAGCTCATCCTGACCCTTTGCAGGATCTGGTGGAGGTTAGTGTGTCTGGGATGGCAGCTTCTATAACAGCCCTGATAATTCTAGGACTTGTCTTCCCATTCCTGGAATTCCTGCCTGTTCCCAAGCAGTGCCTGCTGGCAACCTTTTGGATGGACATGAGACTCCAGGTTTTCAGTTAAATACACAAAAGGATGTTGAATGGAGATGTATGGCAATTGCAACATCCCAGTCATGCCACACACACCACGCTGCTGCTTGGAACAAAGAAAAAAGTGCTGCTAAAAATACACCTGCATTTTCATAGGTTTGCATTTAGAATTTGTGATTTGCTTTGTTTTGCTTTTGGTTGTTGTTTTGTTGTTTTTTTCAATCCAAACATCTATCTTGGTGCCAGGGAAGAGAACAGAACAGCTGATTTTTTAATCATCCCATTAAAGCCATAAATATAATGTTGGAAGCTCTTAATGGCTTCTGATTAATAAATGAATGGTTGTTCCATACCCTTTAATTCAAATCCAAGATGCTCTGCCAATGCAGAAAGAAGACAAGGAAGAGAAAGAGAAAAAGAAAAACAGGTCTGTCAGAGAACTCTAAAATACAAACACACACACTGTGCAGTTACAGCAGGTTAGCTTTTGGTAGGCTCAGCAGCACTCACACAGAGACACTGTACACTTCAGAGCATTTCAAACCCCCACCACAACTCACATGTTATGCAAAGAAAGACCCGAACAAATTGCAGTGGAAGTTAATTATGAATTCTTTCAGTTAATTATGAATTCTTTTGAGATGAGCCATGTTTGTTAGTACCTGATATGGAATTCACTGTTTAGGCAGGGGAAAAAAAAATAATAATATAAAAAAAAAAATAGGAAAGGTACACTTATTCTGAAACAACTCCTGACAGGTCAAAACACATAGAGACTGCATGAGCCTGGTTAAAACCATTCATTCCCTTTCCACAGGGCAAATCTGCCCTGGCTGGTCTCCCACGCCCTGGTGTGCCCGGGGGCTGTGCTCTGGAGAGGAGCGCTGGGCACAGAGCTGAGAGAGCTTCTGCTGGGGCTTGGGGCACTGTCAGCACCATCAGCCCTGGCCCAGGGCTGTGAGGGCTCCTGCTGGGGCTTGGGGCACTGTCAGCACCATCAGCCCTGGCCCAGGGCTGTGAGGGCGCCTGCTGGGGCTTGGGGCTCACCAGCACCATCTGCACTGGCCCAGGGCTGTGAGGGCTCCTGCTGGGGCCTGGGGCTCCCCAGCACCATCTGCACTGGCCCAGGGCTGTGAGGGCTCCTGCTGGGGCCTGGGGCTCACCAGCACTGTCAGTCCCAACCGAGGGACACAGCAGCCCAGGCCCAGGGGCACAGCAGCCCAGGCCCAGGGACACAGCAGCCCAGGCCAAGGGGAACAGCAGCCCAGGCCAAGGGGAACAGCAGCCCAGGCCCAGGGGTACAGTAGCCCAGGCCCAGGGGTACAGTAGCCCAGGCCCAGGGGTGCAGCAGCCCTGGCAGCACAAGCCCCCCATGCCCCTGCCCTGCCAGCTCTGCCCCGGGCAGCTGCGAGCTGCCGCGACCCACGGCCGCTGCCAGGGATGAGGTGCCCAGGCAAGGCAATGGATCTAAAAGTGCAAATCACACTGAAAGCTTGCCTTGAGCCTGTGGCCTCCCAAACTGCACTCTTGCCGTGGCTCTGCATTGTTTTAGTGTGCTGCAAAAAGCCCAAATCAGAGCGTGTGCTTTCAGATTCATATTCAGCACAAGTAAGATTGCAGTTCATCTTGCAGAGACAGTGCTAAGCACAGGAGTTTACCCAATGAATCAACAGTGTATCCTGAATTTTAGCAATTTTCCTGGTACAGACCTCACCTAAAGACAGCTTTTCTTACATAAACATCAAAGTTCTCCATACTTACCACCATACACAAAAGTGAGCTCTGCTGCTCCCAATCACCATACACACAAGATTATTTGCAGCTTGGAGATGTCCAGATTTATTTACTATATTTTCCATAGGAACTGCTTTTTGCTGCATAGAAATACTGGATTTCTTTTGCAGTGCTGTTCAAAATTTAGGCGGTGGGGGGGAATTAGCACTAATTGTTAGGGAACATGTAAACACATGTTCTAAAGCAGGTTCTTCTCTTCAAACCAATGCTGATGTTTGGGGGGGCTTTTGTAGGGAGAAGTCGGGGCTCTTTAAGATTTTGTGTAATTTAAAGGCCACAAAACCTGGCTGCTCTGTGCTTCACATCTCACATTTGTGTAACAGGAATGGCAAGCTCTACAGAGCATTTTACAGTCATTTCATACATGTGGCAGTGACATGGACATAACGTGGTGGGCAGCAGAGAGCTGGACAGAATATATTCATTCTAAACCACTTGGTTATCATACCCAGCTCTGACCTAATCCTAAATCTTCCTACCATTGCACACACCCGCTTTCCCTGACACTGACAAACACATGTAGAGATACCTCAAATTTCATCCATGGATCTTAAGCTGTTGGTCCATCTGCACACACACATTTCTCCCCGTTCCAGGATATTCTGCAACATCTGCAGCTACAAATGGATGCAATTCAAAACCTTTTCATGATTTTCTGCAAACTCAGAAACGCCTGTGAGAGCAGAGGCGGTGGGTAGGACCTGAGGAGCTTGAGCCTTCCCACCGTCCCTCTCATGTCAGAACTATTTCTTTTGGCCTCAGGGAGCAGATACAGCCAGCTGGCTGGGAAACCTGTGCCAGTGTCTCATTACCATCACAGGGAAGAATTCCTTGCTAATATCCAATCTAAACCTGCTCTCTGTCAGTTTGAAGCCATTCCCCCTTGTTCTGTCACTCCAAGCCCTCTGAATCTCCATAGTTCTTGTCCTCTCCAGCTTCAACTGGACAAACTCCATTGGAAGTAATTTATCCAGAGGCTACCATGCAAATAAACTAGAGTGAGACAGCCCTGAGATGGCAGATGTAGGCTGAGGAAATGGGTACAGCATTTCTCTCATAACCTTCATCATCATCATTGTCATCATCATCATCATTATCGTCATCATCCTTCTGTCTGCCCTCCACACATCCTCAGTGGTCAGGGCGAGGGGCTACAGCTGAGCACCCTGAACTGCTGTGGCACTCCCCAAGCTACCTGAACTGGGGACACCGAGGTCACAAACTCAGGTTTTTTTGGAAAATCTCATTCCAAATGTTCCTCCTGAATCTTTCTGAAAATGGATTTTCTCAGCATCAGGCAAAAAGACAAAACCCTGCATTTATTTTGTCTGCAGTGACTTTGTGACTATGATGTATTGTAGTTATTTTAAAAGATGAACAGACAAAAACATTTAATGTAAAGTGTTCCTGTAGGAGTAACACCTCAAGCAAGATGACTCTCGCTGAACTGTAGATTTATAGGGTGATTTAAAAGGATAACAGCCTTAGCAAAGAGCTGTGAAAACTGGCTGTGCTCACTTGGTCTTCAGATTGCCCAAGAACGTCGATAAGATGTTTAGTTACTGCACATTATTCCCTTGAAATACGCTCTCTGGGACACAGAGCATGCTCCAAGGCAAGAAACAAAGTGGAGAACTGACATCTGAGGACCAGCAAGATAATAAATTGATGATAATTTTGTTGCTAATCAATTGTATTGACAAGAATAGCACTTTCAGGACTCTGATTCAGGTTTTTCCAGGGCTTCCAGGGAGCAGTGCAAGACAAGGAGTCACGATGGGGACAGAGGACAGTGTGCCTGTGTTAAAGCTGGGTGACACGTGGGAAGTGTTCTTTCCAAGAACAGAAAGTCTGTAAATGTTCCACAAACTCCACAGCCATTCACCTTCTCCAGTACTGCAGCAATAAAATTAATTTGGTTGGCATCAAGAGTCCAAACATACAACAACAGAGTATTCAAAATCTGCTGTGGATGAGGGTGCAATGAACTTCAGGAGATCCCAAGGGTAACCTGTGCTGCGTCCTGGGAGACGGATAACCCTGTAATTACCCAGCCACACCAAAGCTCATCCATCATCCTGCAATTCAGTGGTCAGCAGTTACCATCTCACTGAATGGAAGCTGCAGATTGCCTGAGGAATTTAAAATGCTGCTAAATATTGGTTTGGGGGGGGGGGG